ACCCTGAGCCGGTGAGATTTGAACCGCTGACCTGCTGATCTAGCAGTAGCCTGCAGTGCTGCATTTAACCACTGCGCCACCTTGGCTCAGAAAGACTGTGTTATTGAGCTGGCCTACCTTAAAATGAAGTTTGACTAGGAACGGGTTTAACTGTAGTATGGAGCCTTACTTGACCCTCTTCTGTGGTCATTAGCATTAGTTGTACCTTACCTTGAATAGCATGAGTTTAAGGGGATCAGAACAGGCAAGATGATGAAAGTGGCACTCTAATCCAAGTCGTGAAGAAGGGATGGGATTTGGATTATGTTGCTTTGTCTTGCCTCTCCCATCAGGGTTTTTCAAAGTGATGCTGCCACCAAGGTTTAGCAAGGTTGTAACCTTTAAGAACTGTAGTACAGAGGATGTACTATTGAAAAGTCTTCCATTCTCAAATTTTGTAAATGCTTCTGAAGAACCAGCAGCAACTGCTCTCGGTAGATAAGCAAAAATCTAATCTTATTTTATATAGCAGAGAGATTAATTTATTCCTCTACTCTTTTTAAAACACACTTTGGAAGTCGTGGAAGTTTGATAATTTGCAATGATAGTAATAATTCAGCTAGATAAAACTTTCTGCCATATGATGAATACTTTTCCCGATTGGCTTTCAGTAGGGGCTTCAATCTGTTGTTGTGCTAATAATTTAGCCCCTTCCCCTCTTATTACAGATGGCTCTGCTCAACATCATCACGGTGACTCCCTGAAAATGTTGAGACTTCATGGCATACCATTTTAGCTGTAAAATATTTGCCTAGAATTAGTAATTCCTGTCTGAACTACTGTTTAACATTAACATTCCTTAGGGAATTCCTGTGTAGGCTTCACAAGGAATCAGCTTAGATGTGTTTTTGTAACATGTGATTTAGAGATGCAACTAAAGGCTTATTTCTCAGATCCTCACCTGGACTGTATTTTTATATGTTTATTCTCTCTCTCTCTCCTTCTCTCTCTCCTTCTCTCTCTCTCTCTCTCTCTCTCTCCCTCTCTCTCTCTCTCTCTCTCTCTCTCCCTCCCTCCCTCCCTCTCTCTCTCTCTCTCT